ATACAGTAGAACTGTTGATGATATAACTCTGAAATCAGAGCAGCTGGGCTCAAGTCCTAGCTCTGTCACTAACTAGCTGTGGGAATTTGGGCAAGTTTTTCAACCTCTACACTACCTCGGTTTCTTCTATAACACAAGGAAACATGGGACCTACCATTAGATCCATTATGAGCGTTAAATACACGTGAAGGCTTAGTACATTACTGGTGCAGAGTCATTTTTCAATAAATAAATATTAGACATTATTAGCTTTCATCAACTATGCCTCAGTAGTCATAAAACTGACATGTAAGCAGCCCCTCAGCTCCAGTATAACTCTTGTCTCCCTTATGTCCAAATGCATCTTATAATTAACATCACTGTCAATCACAAGAGCCTAATTAAATAAATATCTGTTATCAGTTTTGTTTGAAGCACAAGATATACAAGGACAAAAAAGGAGATCAAATGTTAAATACAATAGTAATAGTTACCTTTTGTGTGTTCTAACAATTTTTGTGCCGTTCACTCAGTCCTTTACCTATTTGGTCATTCATTTATTCAGTCTTCAAAGATGTATTGAATTTCAACAATGTTGGAAAGTCATTTTGAAAATGCAGCCCTGTACTTATGGAGTTTTAAGACCCTGTAGCATTAAGCAAACAGTGATGCAGGATCATTTTAGAACAGAAATCTGAGGGTGAACAATCTTCTTACTTCCTTACCTCATTTAGCTAGTAACTCAAAAATCATCTTTTCAGAGAGTTCTTGTGTAACAGAATGTATTAATGAAGATAAGATAGGTAATATGGTGGTTAATAAACTAACACCATATTATTGGCTTACCAAAACAAACATATATTTGTTTTTCATATTATGTGTGCAAAGTTGGTTAGTCAGGTGGTCTGTACCCCACACAATCACTAATGGAGCCAGGTTGATGAAAACTCTGCCATCTTTTATCGGAATTATCTGGAACATGCAGCCTCCCATGGCCTCAGTGGCAGAAGAAGAATGGTCATAGAGCCATTTCACAGCCTCTCTGAAATGCTCTTAGTGGAAATTACCACATCACTTTTGCATTGGTCCAAATCAGTAATGTGGGCCAATGTAAGTGCAAGGGGCTGGAAAGTCTTCTCAGATACCAGGGAACACAGAGAACTAGTCATCTGTCCTGGACCATCTCATTCAAAGTGTAACTCCAACTCTAATCCTTCCCATCCTCTTCCCTGGATGAAGTCTTTATCACCATTTAATATATATCTCCTAACTAGAATGTAAGCTTTAAGAAGGAAAGCATTCTTGTTTCATCTTGTACAGAGATACATTCCCTAGCATCCAGAACAATGTTTGACACAGATAAGGCGCTCAAGAAGTGTCTGTTACATAGGGGTGCCTGGGTGGCTCAGTCGGTTGAGCGGCCAACTTTGGCTCAGGTCACGATCTCGCAGTCTGTGAGTTCAAGCCCTGCATCCGGCTCTGTGCTGACAGCTCGGAGCCTGTTTCGGATTCTGTGTCTCCCTCTCTCTGACCCTCCCCTGTTCATGCTCTGTCTCTCTCTGTCTCAAAAATAAATAAACGTTTAAAAAAATTTTTTTAAAGAAGTGTCTGTTACATAAATGAATCAACGAATCTTTTTGGTGGCAAGGGGTAGCAAGTTTAAGTGGTAAGGAGCATTAAAAAAAAATTAAAATAGGAAATAATTTGTTTTGTTCAAAATAAAAGGATTAAGTGAAGACAACTGAACACCTCTGGTTGCTGGCCGCGGTGGGATCCGATCAACCAATGAGTAATTCTCAGAACCTGAGGATCTCAGTAGTTCCAGGTTTTGGTTTTTCTTCTAATCATGAGTCATACCATGTTCTCAGTCTTCCTGAGTGAATTGAAAAGGAAGTGTATTGGGGAAACAATGGAAACCAAAATGGAAATTCTGGGTTCTAGTTCCAGCCGTCACTCACTAGTCATATGACTTTAGTCAATACACTTCATCTTTCCATGCCTTAGTTACTGTGTCTTTAATAGGGATGATACCCTTTCTCCCTTCTATCTAAGAGACAATCTACTAAGAAAGACCTCTGTAACCCAACTCAATTTTATAAGGTACTCTCAGTATAACAACTTACTTGCTGCTTATGCAAACTCCTCCAGGAGAAGTTGATCAACGGTCAGTCCCCACCCTCTCAACTTCTTGCTACACTCTACAGGCATCTGAAAACTTTAAGGCAGAAAGGTGGATTTACCAACTAGTAGAGGGGATTCACATCTCGTATTTAGATTCCAAATCCATTTTTTATCCCCTTCACACCACAAAAGTATTTATAAAATGTAAATATATTTTAATGTTGTGATCTGAGTTCTGAGGGGAATACACTCCCTTTTTCAAATTCCATTTTCCTGTTGGATATACCAAGACAGAAAACACAGTCTTGGTCCTATGTCTTGGGGCCCATGAGTAACCCCATGGCAGCAAAAGAAAAGGAGGCTACATAGCTTGTCACTGCAGGGAAACCCAATGGAGAAAGAGCCATGCTCCATGTAGGTAGTAAAGCAAAGTGAGGAAGGGCTTTAGAAGGAATGCTTGGGAGTGGTTATTTTCACCCTCAACTCTAAGTGCCAAAGCAACACGATGTTCTATAGGAAACCATTATACTAAGGAAGTGACCCCAGATAGCACCAAGGGCATACTTCATCTCGAAGACATGAAATTGCTGGACTATGAGAACTGAAGCAATTCCTAGAAATGGGGACTCAAAAGGCCAGTGTAGGCTATGTGTTGTTCAAGGTGAATCCAACTGGATCAATGCCTTCTTGCCAATGAAAGTCACAAACGATTCCATAAAGTCATACTATAGAGGTTAAGGAGCAGGCATGTTTGGAGAATGGGGAAACATTACGTCAGCCAAGCATCAGCTAGATGGGGGAGGCAAGAGTCTACCTGATCCTCCCATCATCCCACAGAGAATTAGCTCAGAACCAGGACGTGGCTGTGCATGTGGGGCAAATCTGCATTCCAAGGAAGGGACCATGCCCCACTCCTCATTCACTGTTTTTATGGCAAGTATGAGAAAGGAGTCTTATCTATAGAGAATGCACAGTCATCTAGCCACCAGATGATCTGATGGGGTTACCAGCAGTTTTAAGCATTGTCCATCCCTGGAGTCTCTAGCACCATGAGAATGTTCAGGTCCTTTCTAAATTTTTTTTAGTCTTTATTTATTCTTGAGAGAGACAGAGAGAGAGAATGAGTGGGGGAGAGGCAGAGAGAGAGGTAAGCACAGAATCGAAAGTAGGCTCCAGGCTCTGGGCTGTCAGCACAGAGCCCGAGGTGGGGCTAGAACTCATGACCATGAGATCACGACCTGAGCCAAAGTCAGACGCTCAACCAACTGAGCCACCAAGGCACCCCCATGTCCCTTTCTAGAAGGAAGGAGACCCCAGCCTATGAAAAGTCAACCTGAGTGCAGTCCCTCCCCCTGGGGAAAACATCAAGGAAAGGGTTGCTGGCCCCACCAGCTCAGTGTCCAAGCATTCCAGAATGAGCACCCGGAGTCACTTTCCAATGGCTCAGATCCTCTACCGCACTGTGTCACTGCCCTGGTGTCCCCTAGTGTGTTAGAGAAAAAGTTACTAAGCAAAAAGAACCTCGCATGGCTGAGGCAACTTCATCAATATAGTTTGTTAATTAAAATAAGACCTGAATCGGAGTTGTGGTTTTTTTTTAAATAAACTAAATAAGATATAATTTATACTGATTTTTTTGTTTCATTCTGTTGCCACTTAAAAAAAAAAAAATGATTCCAAGGCTGCATTCCATAAGGGCATTTCATTAACTGGTTGAATTTAAGTGACTTAATTGATGTAGTTAAAGCATTAACTCTGCTGATAAAAAATAAAATGACTCAGGGCAAACACACTGTCATATTGTTATTATTGAACACGGACTGCAAAGCGCCAGCCCAGGAGTTGCTGCAGAGCACAGTTAGACACGGTCCGTGTCCCAGGGGCATGCAATCCCAGCAAGGTTGTTATATGGTATTCATTGCAATTTGATGAACTTCATTTATCTAGACAGCCACTTATTTAGGATGAATTGGAACCTACTGAATCATCTTAATTCAGAGGCTTCTACTGCACCATGGGTCTGCAGCAGCTATTAAACTTGAGAAGATTCGGCGGCCATGACACAATGAATGTATTATTCCCACAAAATTATCTGGGTGTGATGAATCATCAGCTTTATGGACAGGTGTTGGGTGATACCCACTCTCACCTTTCTACCCCCTTAGGTTTGTAAGTATGATATCAGTGCTGCAATCACAGTTACTCATCTTCCCCGATGAAGAAGTTATCTGTCACAGATGATGCTATTTCCCCAATAGCACAATCATTCAATTCTTGGGGAAAAAAAAAATCACACAGCCTGAAACCCTGATACAAGGAGAGGGTTTCCCTAGGCACTGAGTTCTCTGAAGCGATGAGTTAATGAGGAGAGAATAGTTCTCTCCGTAACAGATACCTCCACTTTATGGCATTCTATTACTAATTGAGAGTAGGAACTCCCATAAACTATACTTGGAGGATTTATTTGGATTATTTACAAGGCCAAGGGAAAAAAAAACATGCAAATAGAGACGTACATGTAGAGTGAATCCAATTGCCAAACACTCGTACATTCTGTTTGTAGACTGAGGGCTTTTCGCAGACACGTAATGTGTAAGAGTTGCGGGGGGGGGAAGAACCAAAAACCTTAGGGCTGTCACCCTCCAAATTTTTGGCCCCTTTCTAAGTTCAGTACCAGAGACTTTTATAACCTCCAGACCAAGTGTATGTTATCTTGGATGGGAAAGCTGAAATTTCAAAACTACAAACTAAATAGAAGAAAATTATTCCAAAATGCACAGAACTTTTAAACCTCTCAGACTCAAAAAGCTCTAAGGGCATTGTATTGGCCAGGATTCTCGAGAGAAATAAACAGGACCAATCTATATATTGTGTATTATTATAAAAAATATACATGATTGATTCTATACAATAAATACATGATTTATTCATATATATAATCATATACATGATATATAAATCATATATCTATACAATTTAAGAAATTGGCTCAATAATTGGGTGGCAAGTCTGAAATTGGTAGGGCAGGCTGGCAGGCTAGAAACGCAGGTGAGATTTGAAGTAGAATTCCTTCTTGTCTGAGAAACTTGTTTTTGCTCTCTTGCCTTCGATGGACTGGATGAGGCCCACTCATATTTTGGTGTTTCCCTCCGTTGTAGATGTTACTCACATCTGCAAAACATCTCCACAGCAACCTTAAATGAGTGTGTGACCGGACAACTGACCGCTGTAGTCTAGTCAAGGTGACACATAAAATGTAACCATCACAGGCATCAACTCTATTTGTCACTACTTAATGCTGTGAACTTCATCAAACAGTATTTATTAAATTCACGTATACAAAACTCAATAGGGTCTGTTCAATAAAAAAGGATCATCTAACTTTTTCATATTGTGGCTTAAACCAAAAGTTACTTGGATTTGAAATACATCGCACTTCTTTTTGCCGATGTCAATTATCTTGCTGAAAGGGCCTTTCCTATGTTTTGTAACCCAGGTGTTGGCAAATGATGGCCCGCTGCTAACTGTGACCCACTGCCTGTTTCTGCATGGCCCATGAGCTAAGAAGGTTTTCATACTTTTAGATGGCTACATTATGAATAGTTATGGAAGGAATCGTACACCCCAAAATGGTTAAAACAATAAACTTCATGTTATTTGTTATTAAGACATACACACAAGCTACGTAGGAACCTACATAATATCCAGAATGCTGTCTCTTGACCCTCAAACTCTAAAATATGTGACATCTGACTCTAAAAATGTTGCTGCCCTTGCTGTAAACCAAATACTTTCTCGTTGAGGGAATAGGCTAACCCCCACCTGGTTAGATGGACATGACAGTAACACATTTCTTTGCTCCATCTCACAATTTCATAATTCCTCAAGAAGCATTGAAAATACTAGCTTTGTTTGTATCTTACTTCAAATCCTGTCTTTATAAATAGACTTTAAAGAAAATATCAGGAGCTCTGGTATTTAATGGAAGAAGTCCTTGCTTAAAGCTAGAAAAGGAAATAAGGCAGCAGACTCCCAAGGCCCACCATGGTCTGGCCCTTTGATTTCCCTTTCAGCCTCACCTCCTGTGACTCCTCTACTCCTAACTTTAGTCCAGCTACACAGACCTTTCCTTTGTTTTTCTTTTCTTTTCTTTTTTTTTTTTTAATGTGTGTTTATTTATTTTTAGAGAGACAGAGAGGAAAAGAGAGATCCCAAGCAGGCTCTGCACTGACAGCCCTGATGTGGGCTCAATCCCATGAACCATGAGATCATGACCTGAGCCAAAATGAAGAGTCGGATGCTTAACCAACTGAGCCACCCAGGCACCCCTTCTCTGTTTCTTGATTATTTCCACCTTGTTCCTACCTCAACTATTCCCTCACCCTGGGGCGCAATCCTCAAAGAGCCTCACATGGCTGCCTTCTCATTGTCACCTCAAACAGGACATGCTGAGGCAGACTATCCGGGCTCATCCTCCTGACCCACCCCGGTACCCATTTCTCCATTTTACTATGCTATTTTAATTTGTACATAGTACTGTCTCGAATTATTTGTGAATTCATTTATCATCTTTAATCAGTAGATGCTGGCTCTAAGTGAGCAGGGATCTTGCTTGTCTTGTCCATGGCTGTACCCCATTATCTAGACTATTCCATGGCCATGGAAAGTATTCAGTTAATATTTGTGAGATAAGCTAGTGGGAAGACAGAACACAAGCCAAACTGGATTAATGTGTTATTGTCCCTAGAGATTAGCATTCCAATTAAGTCACCATTGGGTTCAGAGTGGATTAGAAAGTATTTAATCTGACTGTTCATTCATTTAAGTAAAAGAATTGAGGACCCAACTCAGGCAAAGTTCTAGATGCTGCAGACATAACAGTAAAGAGGAAAGACAAGATCCCCACACTCAGGAATGTCACAAAATGATACATCAGGAACAGAGAAGTGTGGGATGCCATACTCCAGTGGTATTATAAAATATACTTCATATAGTTGACTGGATATGTTTTTCTTACCTCAAATACTTTCTCAAACTGCTTTGAATCCTATTTTCTAGCATTAATACATCTGAGCATTCACAATGGCGCCATGCATACGTATGGCTTTGACACTGGATCAATGTAACCTGTAAGGAATATAAAGATTTAAGCTAAAAGGTAAAGAAAAGACAGAAAAAAAAATGTTTTTTGCACCGCTTCCCAATTGTGATTTTGAAAATCTCAGATGACCTCCCAAGCCCAGGTTCCCTGTCCCAAGAGGAAAGGCCAACAGCAAAGCCTGGCAAATAATCCAGTAACAGATTCAGAGCAAGAACGGAAGAGAGAAGGAGGGACACTGGATCTGCATGTAGTGCTTCTCTGGTTTGCTTCACGGAGAATATTGTATTTGTAATTCGATCGGCATGAGATTATTAAATAGCAAAACAACAACAACAACAACATGAAGTTCTACCTGATAAATCTTTCTGTATGATTCTGCCAATATCGGTATGACTGCCCCATGACCTTGTTTCTCGGGATGCACGCTTCTGAATACACACACGCGCACATGCACAAATTAAAGGGGGATGTAAGGGCTTTTCTCTAGTTTACTTCCTGGAAAATTGAGTAAAAAAGAAGAAAATTGCATTCCAATCAGCCTTTAACACAAAACTGAGAAAAGTTTTGTCTTCCTTTCATATATATATGTGTGTGTGTGTGTGTGTGTGTGTGTGTATATATATATATCTCCTTTTTTTTTTCCTACTGAGTGAAAGTGACAGATGGGTAGACATAACTACCACAGAACTAAAAATCAGGAAACCTGGCTGGACTGTATCTCAAATCATCTTCAACCTTGAAGAAGATTGATTGAAGAACTTTATTCTCAGTTTCCTCATCTATAAAATGAATGTGCCCTATTCTATCTTCTCTAATCTGCTCATTCCCAGTTCTAGGCTCTACCATAAAATTCAGTTTGTAAAAATAAACAGAGCCCTGCCTCATTATAATAAGCATAGCCAATTTAAAGCAAGGATGATCCAGAATTTTTTGGAATTTCAGGACTGACACTGTATACATATGTCAAAACATATAAAATTGCACACTTTAAACGTGTTCTGCCTGTTGTATGTTAACTATACCTTAATAAAGCTCTGATTAAATAAAAAAGAATGACACTTCAGCTCATTATCTAAAAAGAATTAAATTAGCAGCATTTTGGAGGGAAAAACAAGAAAGACATATTTTTACGTGGGTATTATTTTAAACTGCTGATTAGATAAGTAAGAAAATGTGTCCCTTAGCAGCCACTCCTGCTGCACTGACTAGCCTTGTCTACACAAAGAAAATGCCTTGAGCCAGCGCTCCTACTGGTTGAATTCTGTTGACCTGCTTTTTCTAAACCACCTCTTCAATTCAGAAGATAGTTATGCATCGTTTTCAAAATAACCAGTTGTTTGTTCTCCCTGTGCCAGTCCCCCGGCCGGGAAGGAGCCTGGGTGCAGCGACTCTGTTAGGAGCCAACGAGTGGAAGAAGGCAGGTCTGTTTACCTGCCAAGAAAGGCCTGGAATAAGTGCGCTGCTTAGCTGTATTGCCGCAAAGCAAAGACAACTCGCTAAGGAGAAAACAATTCAGTCAAACTGAGACAAAACATAATTTTCTCTGAACGCCACTGTATTTTGATAGACTACATTCAGTGAAACCAATTAACAGAGGGTCAGGGTGGCTTTGGGAATAATGAGGAGAAGAGAAGTCTATGGGATGGAGAGCAAGCAAGAAGAAGAGGAAAACAAAAGAGGAAGGGGGAAATTGTAGCTTGCAGTTTCAGGATCAAAAGGTATGCTTTCTTACCCTTTAATTTCTTTTTTTTTTTTTAATCCCTTCTAGAATTCCCAGGCAAAATGTATGCCAACGCGCAACTCTGCGAATATGCAAAAGAAAGTAGGGAAGTGAGGCAGCTACGTGGATGCTGAAAACAGTCTCCACTGAGCATCAAAGAAAGTAAAGCAAATTCTTTTTCTTTACCTTGAATTATTCAGAAAATTGTCTCTCAACGCTTCACTTCTCGTTGTGTTGTAAACAGCGCTAAAGCCAAGTGCCGGGTGGGTCCAGCTCTTTGTAATTCTCTTTTGTGACTGCCCAACTCAGGCAAAAAATCTGAGTGACACACATTTTTCTGCAAAGGTGTAGACCTCGTACTGGAGAGCTCTGTGAAAGAGAAGCTGTAAGAATGGGGTAGTGTCTGCTAAGAGCACAGAAATATTTGCGGACATTTGCCCGTGTCTTTCCTGAGTAGCGAGGGATGTTTTCAATAAGCTTCTGCTTTCATTAACACTTAGACACTGTTCCCTCATAAACACTGAAATGACATCCTAAATGGCACGTCTGTGTAGTATAACCAGGTCACATTTTTGGTTTTGTTTTCTGCATCCCACATCAACAGCAGGAAAGGGGAAAGATTGGCCTGGGCATTGCCAAAGCAATGGAGAAATGCCTTTAGTTATTATTACCACAGTAAATGAAGAAACGGCAGACCAGATGGGTGTACATTATCTATCCAACTAAAAAAGTGTCTTGTTAACAGAGATAAATGGTCTGAAATGGCAGAACATTTTCTTGCAATTTTAAAAAATAATAGCGGCAATATTTCAGAGGATAATTCTGCAATTTTTTTCAAGGTTTCTGCTAAAAACCACATTTGATATTGATAGATACATTCTTAAAGTGTTCATTGACACATTCATAAATATGTGAACTTGAAAGGGGATTTTTTTTTTAAATCCCAACTCTAATAATCTCTCTTGGAAGCCTGAAGACATGATAGGATCCAGTAGGGCTGAACATATTTCATTCATTCCTGAATCAGCATTACCAAAACAAAATAGAGGTTAGAGGACATACACTGAGGAATACGAAGGTATGAACAGTCAGACAGATCCAGGCCGCTCTGCTTCTTGTCTGCATGACCTTGAACGTTAAATAATGTCATGCAAACTCAGTTTTCACATCCCTAATGTGTATATAAAATCTAGCAGAGGGGCGCCTGGGTGGCGCAGTCGGTTAAGCGTCCGACTTCAGCTCAGGTCACGATCTCGCGGTCCGTGAGTTCGAGCCCCGCGTCGGGCTCTGGGCTGATGGCTCGGAGCCTGGAGCCTGCTTCCGATTCTGTGTCTCCTTCTCTCTCTGCCCCTCCCCCCTTCGTGCTCTGTCTCTCTCTGCCTCAAAAATAAATAAAAACGTTAAAAAAAATTTTTAAAAATAATAAAAAAAAATCTAGCAGAGAGAATTCTTTAAATATCCTGTAAATATCTTGTCTGGTACAAGCAGGGTGCCATCTAAATGTTAACTTCTCAATGAGCAATCTTTGTACAACGTACTGGTTCTTTTCCTTTCCTTGTAGAAAAGCCTTCTCTTTCTCATGCAACTAGAATGTTTTGTTTTCTTTCCATGTTATGGGTGCACAGCTTCACTTCAGGAAGAAAAGGAAACAAGATCTTTGGTAAAAATTTATAGTAAATACTATCCCCCTTCTATAGTCCTTGGCCTGGTTAAATCTAGGCTATAGTTAAACCTGAAATCTATAATGAATATGAAAACATCACCCTCATTTGCATTCAGCCATATCTGTAGGCAACAACAACAAAAAAGGTTATTTACTAGAAGAAAAATACAATTAAGTTCTGAGATATTTTATTTTATTTGGAAAGCCTCCTTTCTCCGGGAACATAACAATGACTTATGATTTATAAAGTGCTACACTTTAGAGGCGGTCAAAATGCTTTTCTTGGAATTGTGATACTACCTTGCATTTTTAATCTCAGTAAGACCTAGCTAGAACATCAAAACCGCCTTCAGAGGTGCTCTGGGCCTTTCTGTTTGTGTTACCTCAACTGCCCTTGTAGCTACCCAGGAGCCTTGGATGGTTTTTATATTTCCATTTAGCGCTGGGTTAGTTGGTGTGTTTCATTCCTGGGAGTGCTGAAGAATACAAGTGTCTTGTAAGGTGGTCAGTCCCAGGAGAAGCTACCACACTTTCAAGTGGCCCCCAGGAATAAAAGAGAAGATGCAGGGGTCTCCCTCGGAACTTGCAGCCAGCTTTGCAAGGTTTGCTGTGGTCAGCACGGTCCCCAGCGGTGGCCCACGTCACTTGGAGATTCAAGTCAGAGCACCAAATGATGACGTGTCAAGTCAAATGACTCTTGAAAAAGGTGAAGGCAGCGTGGGAGAGACTCGGAGACTACCTTCGCTACGGTGGGTCCAAAGCAATCCTCTCCTTTCTCCAGCACTGTCTCTACTCTTCATTTGGGCACCAGAAAAAGAAGCTTGTGCTGGGATTGAGAAGACACATTATATGCAAAATATGTATCTCAGCACAGTGTGGAGGTTGGGACTGATGGCCCCACATCACAGTCATCTCTCTTAACCTATGATATAAGAGAGGACTCTGCATCATCTACTGGATCCATGGCTGTATTTTATGGGATTAGGTATGCATTTTAACCGACCTCATCACATTAGTTTTCTGCCCAGGAAACTCATCTCCTGGAACCAGCTTGTTCCCCACTCTATCCGTGAGCTCCTGACTGGAGCTGCCATGCTTTTATTTAGCCTCACCCACTTTCCCAATCTAGACCAATCCCTGCACTTTCCTGAGATACTTTAAATCTCCCAACACCGGGAGGGTGATACAGTCTCCCTCTTGTGGCCAAAGCAGAAACTGTGAATCTTGTTTTTCCACTTCCCCAGAAAGGTAATGTGTGGTGAAAATTATCATCATAATAATAAAGTTGAAATACACAAAGACAGCCGTGAGACTTGGAGGGAAGATGGACAGCATTCACACCCTGATTCTGGTGGTTCCTGAGGCTCAGCTGGATTTTTTCCCCTTGCCCTTGGGTCGTTCAACTGTGTCACGATTGTATAAGTTGATAAATGACCTTCTTGCCGTAGCTTGCTAGGGTTAGGTTTCTGACACTTGCAACCCAACTAATACACTCACCAAAGTGTTATTTACTCAGCTCAATTTTCTTCCAAGCAAAGACTGAAATAGCACCCCCAATAAAACTCTCGTTACTTGCATAAATGTATAGCAGCCTTACCTGCGCAGAACACTTCATTTTTGACAGCCTGACGTAACAAGTTGCTTCGGCTGCCTGGGTTTTAGGTTTCTCATCAATGGAATGATGGCCAAGGTCAGAGGGACTAAGGGAGACACACACCCTGTGGTAGCTACTATGTATGGATCCTAGCATTCTTCCTAAGGACCCTCTATTCTGCTTCAGAAGATTTCTCCACACAGGACACAAGATGAAATTTGCTTTTCACTCCTGAACCTTAAATAACCTGAAAACACCATTAAAGCCTTTCTGACAACTCACTGTATTAGACCCAGCAAGTGTCTAATTCCCATTTCAGAGGTAAGGAAATTGAGGTACAGAGAAATGTATGGCTGACGTAAAGCTGTTCAGCTTGTTTTTAACCCCTCTCTTCCCCATTCAGGACTGGGGGTGGGGAGTGGAAGAAGAAGGAAAAGCTGGATGACCTTGAACTGTAGTGAGTTTCTTTCCTTGGAAAGGGAGCAGAGTGGGGCAAATCATTCCATATCCTGTGTATGATCGCTTTGGAAATGATCTTCTCTTCCCTCAATCCCTTCCTCTCCCCTACATCACATCAGTACCAGCTGGCTGTGCCCCACATTAGAAGAAGAATGGGGCCCAGCCAATTATTGCTTCTCTGTACTAAGATGTACCCTGGTGAGCAGCGCTCCCAAAGGGGGTTAAGTTATGAGTGGGAAATAACAGAGGAGCTAAGGGAAACTGGCTCAGGGACCCACTTTTGAACCCAAGCAGAGATGCAAATTTGGGGTCTGAGCATGCCATTTAGTCAACCATGCAAATTAGCACATGCTCACTTGCCCGGGGCCTGAAAGAAACCAGGAGGGGGGCCACAAGGAATTCCAATCTGTTGTGTTTCTCCTTCAATTGACTTTTGGTCATGTTTCAATTGGTATTTGCTTCTGCAGATGCCTATGGCTCAAAGGTGAATATTTGTTTTCTTAACCTGGGCATCAGGAAGCAGATGTGAAGTAAAAGAAATGAGTTAAGATTAAAGGTTAGTCATGGTAAACTAGGAAGAAAGTTTTCAAAAAAATAAGATATCTACATAGTTAGATAGATATGGATATATCTTATTTTATAAATCTTATATCTGTCTATGTGTATATAGATAGATATAGATAGATAGTTGATAAATAGATAGATAAATAGATAGATATAATTTTTTGCACACACACAACATCTGAAAAACTGGTACAAAAATGCAATTCAACCTAGTCAACTCTACATCGAAGAATCTTTTATGTTTTTTTCTTTTAAAGGTTACCATTTATAGTCATTGTTTATGGGCACAGGGGTTAGGACGACTGTATTTAGTTGCAATTGTTGAAATATATGCTCTTCATAAAAGCAAGTGTCTCACTCTGACAAGGGTTGTAACCCCCATACATTTCCTATAGCTCTAGCTGAATTGAAACTGTTAGGTTCTATTCACTTACACCTTCTTGGCAAAGATTCCATTTCCCAATTATTGGAACAGTGAGTCAAATAAAAGCAAACGTTGCTAAAGAAAACAACATAAAAAGAGTCTTTCAATATTTAAAGAAAGCTGGGGATTGATTGCAACTACGTAGCTGGAAACACATCTTCATCCATGTCTTAACTACAAAGGCGGTGATGGGGAAGCAGGTGGGGTGAGGCCAAGTGGTAGGAGCTTGGAGCAGGGGCGAGGAGATGAGAAAATTCATTGAAGTAAAAAAGAGAATTAGTATCTGGTATTTCCCCTGCAATTTAATGCTGTCAGGCCGGCATCTTGCACACTACCCAGATGGAATACATTGCTATTACGGAAGCAGAGCTCTCTTCTAGGATAGATTAAAGAGCTAATAGGTGAAACCAGCTGCAAGGAGCATCTGTTTTTTTCATTTCAGAGCAAGAGTCCTTGCAGAACTGGAAAAATACAGGTTCCAGAGTTCTCAGGAGGTTGTAGCCTGTAGCATAGGAGGAAGTTTCTACAGTCTTCCATTTTTAAAGAGCCCTAAGCCTAATGAATCTTCAGGAAACCTTCCAAAGTGGGAACTGACGTAACAGTTTCACCTTCTAAAACATTACTGATATGAAGAGACTTAGAGAAGCCCAGTTCACTTTTGCCCA